CTCCGGCCTTCCTCTCGCTCCTCCTCGGTCAGCAGCGGCGCCCGCAGCCTCCTCCCGGCACTGCAGGCACCCGGCGCTGCCGAGCGCTGCCCGCCCCACCGCTCCCCGCCACCTCGGCCACACACATCCCACCGCTCGGGGAAAAACGCTCGCAATGCTGAGAGATATGTGTGCACGAAAATACGACGTGTCACATAATATTACATTTTTGCCATACACCAAAAGTCGTTTGCAGAAAAAATTCACAGGTTTTGTACCAGTTGTGCTTGGATTAGTTTTCCCTCTCCCTTTCTACAGACCAAAAGTGACTCATGCAGCCACAGTAATTCCCCACATCCCGACAGCAATGAAGATCCTCCCACAATTAGAGGCAGGTGATGTCTTGCACTGGCTTTCCACCGTGCCTGTAAAGTGAATTTAAAACCTCCGCTGCACGAAGAAAAGGACGCGTTAACGGCAAGATCAGAGCTGAATTAAATAGTGTTTCTCGTTTTCTTGTAAAGGATATTCCAAGTCTTTTACCATTAGTTCAAAATCATCCCTCCCACAAATTCCATAGCAATCATGTCTGAATTCCTAGTACACAGATATCAACAGAAATTAAACGTGAAAATAAATCAAAACATGGTTCTGAAATAAAAATAAAGTTTTCAGACACACACCCGCGGAAACCAGAGGTATAAAGTTCATAATGGCAAGCGTCAGGAGCTCTGCTTTAAATATCTCATAGGGAACACGGTGTAAATTATCTTTTACACCGCGAGTGATTGAGATCAGGCATTTAAGGGAGCATTAGTCCCACCTGGCTAGAATCATATGCTTGCCGCTCCGAAAACTGCTGGGGAAATGGCTTTGAGAGTGAAGCAAGAACAGCAATAGGCACGCCTGCTTTCCTTATATGCCTTTTTTCTCAACAGTATTTTGAACTGGAGAAGAGCAATGGAATGTTTCAGGGAAACACTGAGATAATCGTTCAAGTGCTGAACACTTCAGCATGCAGCTCATACTGAGAAAGGAAAAGCAATGGAGTGGCAGTTGCCCTTTTGAATAGTCCACATGGATGTTGTGTTTCTAAAGTTTCTACGCATTTGCACTCAACTAATTCGACAGGTTGAATGACTAGGAAGGGCCTCTCCTGTCAGATATCAAGATGCAAATGACTGTAACTTGTTTAACAATGATTCAGCTAAATCCTTTACACTTCATCTTGGTAGGAAACCCTTTAAACACAGTTCTGTAAAACGGCAGAAGAGATTACAGCTGCACCCCCTGCTGCAGGCGGCCCATTTGTAAATGTGCAAATGGCCTTTATTCAAGAGCCTAATGGCTCTCATATGCATATGAATGTCCTCCGAATTGTTAGAGACCTTCCTGGTAGCTCCGGCACCAGGTTCAGCATTACCCTTTCAAAGCCATCAGCGTGGTCCAAGAACATAGTTTGTTCAGGGTTTCTTGTTTGTTTGTTTTTGAGACCTCATTCTACACCCTCATGAGTTTATAAAAGGCTGACCAGGAACTGCTCACAAACAACTGAGGGAAGTGACACACAGGAGAAAGAAGAGAGAAATTACACAATACACTCGGATATACCTTACCTGCATAAAATTGACTCAAGGGTCAATTCTATCTCTTCGACTACATCGCACAGAATCACCAGATCTCATTCTACACAGTGAGTTCACAGTTGCTGGAGATAAAAACCTGTCAGCTCTACCTGAACCTGTCAACAGTGATAAACTGGAAAGTGTCCCAGAGAACAGCCTGCTGTAAGGGGAAAACAGTCACCCCGCTCCTTCACTCACTCCCGGAGACACGCACCAGCGATCCCCACACACCCCACCCGCAGAAAACCTCAAGAAACTCCCACCTCGGTCCCCGAAAACACCTGAAGGAGAAGAGCGAGAGCGCGCGGGCTCACAGACCTGCGGTGCGTCGGGGCGGGCGGGCGGCTCTCCCGGTCCGGCGCTGCTGCTCGGGCTCCGCTCCCCGCACGGCTCCCCGCCGAGCAGCTCCTCCGCGGGCAGGCTGGGCAGCGGCGGCG